GTTGACGGAGGCTCACCTTTCTCACGAACATAGACTCTGAGAACACGCTTCCCTTATCTTGTTCTGGAATTGAGTGGCAGGAAGCAGTACAAGAAGAGCATTTGTGGTCTGTTTGCTGACGCTGTGGTCAGGAGCGTTAGGTGTTAGGTGCCTTTGAGTCAGTTCTGACTTACACCGACCCCAGGGACCAAGTAGAACTGTCCCATAGGCTTTCCACGGCTGTCATGTTCACGGAAGCAGATCACCAGATCTCTCTCCTGCAGAGTCACTCAGTGGGTTTGACCCGCCAACGTTTTGGTTGTCAGCGGAGTGCGTAATCATTACACCACTGAAGGCTTTCTGGTAGAGATCACATCCTTGCCGCTTCCCTTTCAGTTCCATTTGTTTCCAGTTCCTTCATTGCAGTTGGTTTGGACCTCCCAGTTTTATTGAAAAGCGGTGCAGCTGCTAATGGTGGCTTTGACAGGCCAGTCCGCCTGGACTGGGCATGCTGGAAGCTTGAATAATAAAGGATGGTGGAACGTCACTTCAATACAGACGGGGTTCTTCGTTTCCCAGAGTCTCTAGCTTCTGGCAGAAACGGTGTGGCCTTTTTAAGGAGAGCAGGCCCGACGCTGTAACCTGGTTGTAACGGAATCACACTCCCTTCCTCTTTTGTTTGATGTGAGCTCACATTTTATTGAGCACCTACTGTATACCTGATGACTGGGCCTCTTCCCATACCTCCTCTCATTGGCCCTGGCCCCCTGTGAGGACGGCTCCTCCCTGTTGACAGAAGAGGAACTGCAGACACGAGCTGTTGAGCGTTGGGTCACGGACCCTGAGTGAGGATTCCAGCACAGGCCAGCAGCTTTCAGAGCATCGATTCTGTAACTGCATGGCAGTAGAAGATGCTAGGGAGACGGTCGGGGTTTTGGGTTGTTTTTTGTTTTTTTCATTTTCTCTGTTTATATGTGTGTTAATTTTATTGTATGATACATACAACAAACACCCACTATTTCTTGAGTTTCTGCCATTGAATCAGTGACATGGGTGACATTCTCCAGGCTCCCACCATTTTCACTCTCTTTTTCCAAATTATCCCACTACTAGAAGGAAGGTTGGGCAATCCTACTTCCGTAGTGATACTGCCTCGGAAACCCAAGGAGGGGTCGCTATGAGTCAGGGCTGACTCCATGGCACATAACAACAACAACAACAATCATGACCACCATGCCTTCGGTACACTCAGAGCACAGCCCGTCTGCCTCCCTGCCTCCCTCCCCGCCCTGGCAGCGGGGTTGGTCTCTGGAGATTTGCTTGTTTCACCTACGTGCCAGCATCCCGTGTTTACCCCAGCTGAGTCACTTCACGCGGCAGGATGCCCTCCGGGTCCGTCCGTGTGGTGGCATGCGTTGGGGCTGCCTGCCTCTCTCCGGCTGAGTCATCTCAGCCTGCTGGCTTATCCCCTCATCACTCGTTGGACACCTCGGCAGTCAGGAGACAGTCTTTCTGTTGTGTGTTGCCACCAAGTTTTCTCCGACTCTTGGGCAACCTTGAATACAAACGTTGCCTGTCTGTGCCACCCTCATGAGAGTTGGTGTGGCTGAGGCGGGTGACATTGTTCCTGTCAGGACGCATCTTCACCCATTCATCTGCTTTGCCTTATTTCTTTGAGGAGACGCCTAAAGTCGGAGCCTGTTTGCCTCAGGCACTGAGTCTGCAAGGGCAGCGAACAGTAGCCACTCCTCGAAACCTAGGCGCCCGGGTCACTGGTCTAGGAGAGGGCATACTGCAGTTGGCAGGGACAGGCTTGCTGGAGAGCTGGAGAGCGGGGTTCTTCTCGGGCACCCCAGGATCCGTTTACGTCACAGAACCCTCTGCACTGAGCCAGGCAGCAGCTCTGGCTGCTGCGGGAAGAGAACCCGCGTGCGCTTCCTGGGTGCGCGTTTTCTCCTCAGCTCTGCCTTGCTTGCCGCTTGTTTGCACAGGAAGTCCTCTGCGAGTCTCAGGCCCACCAGGAAGTGATCTGAACCAGGTCCCAAAGGGGTGAGGGGGCCAGGCTCAGAAGGCTGGGTGACCCGTAACTGGGCTGCTAGTTTTAGTTGTCCTCTGTGGTGGATTTTATGCAAGGATCCCCAGATAATGATGTTTATAGGCTGGGTGTGTTTCTCAGTTTATCCGCTTCTCCGTATTGGTCTCATCAAGTGGAAATGAGGCTGCAGAAAGGACGTGGGAGAAGAGTCAACCCCAACAGCTGATTCCTCTGAGGCCAGACATGCCGCCACCCCCCAGCCTTTCTACCAGCTCTGCCTCCAGTCGTCCGTCCCACAGCACTCACGACTTGCCTGCTGGGCTCAGTAATCATTGCAGTGACCACACAGAACTCACAGACAATACTCATGCTTACGGGGTTTATTAAGGAGGTGACAGGCTGTAATTCGGGGTTTGGAACATGCTCAGGATACAGTTCTTTGATCAGGACAGTCTCCTCTCTGCTGTTCCCTCAAGCATGCGTCTCTGGCCCTTGGCCTCGGCCTGGCCCCTGCCCTGCCCGGGCAGATGTCACAAAGCTCTTAGTCCTGCCGATGGCTGCACCTACATGCGGGCCACTCCACCAGCAAGTCTCGAGCCTCTTTCTCCTCCCGCGGTCTCTGCCGTCTCTCTGCCAAGGAGGTCCAGCGCAGGGCTCTCGGGTTCAAGGACACGCTCTGTTCCACCTGTGACTCTCCTCTCTTGATGGCAGGGAGATCCCCCCCCTCTGCCTCCAGGAGGGCTCATTTTAAGCCTAGCAGAGTGGCAGAACTGACAGTCCCCATGTTAGGGTTCCATGTACCTTGTTTCCATGGTCCCACCCCCACAGGATGCCATGTTCCCCATTTACCTTCCTAACAAGCTGTCCAGTCCCCTTGGAGGGCTGGGAGCCCCTCACGTTTGCATAGCTCCACCCAGTCATCTGGCAGGCGCTGCAGAGACCGTGGCTGGAAGAGACACACAGGATCGTTCGCTGCAGCTCAAGGGCCACATCACTGGAGACAGACCTAGGTCCGTTTCCCTTGATGCTTTTTTTTTATGATTTGGGTGAAAGTTTACAGAGCAAATTGACTTTCCATACAGCAGCTCACATACATTTTGTCTCATGACATGGACTGCAGTCTCCCACAATGCAACTGCTACCCTCCCATTTCCTCCCCGTGCCCTCCTGCCCCCTGAGCTGTCTCCCTGTGCAAACACTGCCCTTCTATCCTCCCATGATTGTTCTCTCCAAGGAGTGTACCTACCTAATGTAAATGTTCAGCTCACGTGACTGCATTTTGTTTGGCTGGAAGCCACAGGTGTGGGTTCAATTCCAGACCTGAAGGGCAGCGAGGGCCCATAGTCTCAGGGGTTTCACCAGGCTCAACCAGACCAGCAAATCTGGGCCCCCCCCCTTTTTTTTTTAAATGATTTTGAGTTTTGTTCCACATTGTTCTCCCACTCTATCCAGGATTTCTCGATTCTTTTTGATTGTCCTCTCTCTCTTTGTCTGTTTTTTTCCCCCCTATGAAATTAGAAGGAGCTCTGGTGGCATAGTGCCTAAGGCACTCGACTGCTAACCAGAAGGCTGGCGGTTCAAACCCACCAGCCACTCTTGGGAAGGAAGGTTGGGCAATCTACTTCCGTGGTGATACTGCCTCAGAAACCCAAGGAGGGGTTGCTATGAGTCTGGGCTGACTCGACGGCATATAACAACAACAACAATGAAATTAAAAAATTGGTTGTTTTGGTGAAGATTGACAGAGCAAATTAGTTTGCCTTTCAAGGTCTTGTCTGTTGTTTGGCTGACAGGTGATCCCAAGGGGTGGGTTCAGTTGCAGGTTGAAGGTGTCTAAGTCCATAGTGTCAGGCCTTCCACCAGTCTCCTTCAGCCCAGTGAGTCGGGTTTTTTCAGTGATGTTGAATTCTCTTCTGCGTTGTTCTCCCATCTGCCCAGGACCTTGCACCGTGGTCCCAGTCAGCGCGGTCGGCAGTGGTAGCCGGGCACCATCTGGTTCTTCTGGTCTCGGGGTCCTGGAGGCTGAGGTTCACGTGGTCCACTATCCTTTAGACTAAGGTGGTCCTTCTCCTTAGTAGACATTTTAACACAAAGCCACTGTATCACTTGTCTTTGTGGCTTTAGGAAATTGACCATTTGTTTAGAGCAGTTTTTGTCCCCTCATACGAGCTTCAAAGTAAAAGGATGGAATAACTTCGGAGGAGAATGTTTTAATGTGAACGAATGCCCTTTAGGAGCGTGGGCTTTGGAGACAGGCCTTCCTGGGTCTGATCCCAGCCCTGTCACTTACTAGTGTGTCACATAGGCCCTCTTTTCCTTGGTAGTATGGAATGTTGTGAGGTTTCAAGACAGTGATGTTTGGGCCCATGTGGCATGCACATGGACCCAGGTACTCACTGCTGTTGCTCTGTGAGGAAGGTCACTGTCAGGAAGGGATACACTGAGAATGGTCCTAGTTGTCTTGTTTGCTTGATAGTTGGCATTGCCCTTTCCTGATGTGGGAATCACTGGGGACCCCCTCCAGGGATCACGGGAGCGGGAATTCTGTTTAAGGCTGACAGCCCCAGCAGCATTACACGCCCTGGCTCTTTCCGGAAAGAGAAAATCCTGAGTTTGCAGTTCCAGCTTTTATCTTGTAAGGTTCTGGCTGACTCTGGGTGTGTAACGTCTGTCATGCACTCGGGATGTTTGGAGCACTTCCTGTTTACTCTAGCCTATCCCTGACAAAGGCTGTGGACAGCCATCGAGCTGTTACCAAGGAATTATGGCCCACATCCTATAAACACCTTTGTTCTAAGAATGCAGTCTCGCGCCCAAGGTGTGAGCGGGTGGCAGCTCTCCAGCACCCCTGCGCAGGATTTGCAGGCTACAGGGTTCCCGGCTGTGTCTGCAGTGCTGGATGCTTCTTCTGGAACCTTCTGGATGGTCACATGGCACGTTGATAACTCACTCTGGTTTTGTGCTTTCTTTTCTCTTTCTCGGACAGAAAACGAAGCCCAAGCCCCGGCCGTCCATCACGAAGGCAACCTGGGAGAGCAGCTATTTCGGGGTGCCACTAACAACAGTCGTGACTCCAGAGAAGCCAATCCCTGTTTTTATCGAAAGATGCATTGAGTACATTGAAGCCACAGGTAAGAGTGTCCCTCGAGTCCCTCGCTGTGGATCAGAGAAGTCGGGGCTACAGGCTGCTTTCTAGAGTTTGGAGCCGTCAGGAGGTGCTGGAGTTGTCTGTGGTTACCATGATGTGCTGTCTGAGAAGGCGCTGAGCCATCTTCACTGCTGGCGGGCACGGGGCTCCTCCGTGGCATGCACGGGGTCTGCAGGCTGCCAGACCGGAGTTAGTCAGCAGTGTCTGAGGGTATGTCTGGTTTCAGACATGGAGTTGTGGCTGCCTGTGTACCTTTTCTGGGCTCCCCTGACCCCATGATGGTACACAGCCCTGTTTCTCTGTCGTCCTGTAGTCTGTGCCCCCACCAGTCTGAGCTCCTTGAGGGCAAGGAAGGGCCTCTGTGTATCAGTGTGACCTCAGCACTACGCTGGGGACAAAATACATTTTGGTTTAATGAAATGAATGAGCAGTTCTGCCTGTTACTGCCCTTGGGTATCGATCAGGCATCTGAGATTCGTGTATTGATCAGATTTCTGTAGGTAAAAACAACTGGAAGGCTTGGATGTCTTCTGGCCGCGTGGTTAAACTCCAGAGCCTCCAACAGCCTGATGTTATCACAAAGGCAGACACATTGCCCATGTTGCTCTCGACAGAACCACGTTTGGCGTCTGTTTAAAGCTATTTCTCGCATCGTTCAGAGCCCGTAACGTGACCCTGCAGCCTGCCCTTGGAGACCCTCAGAGGTCTGCTTTCACACTGCTCCTGCTCCGATTCTTCTCCCTGATGGTTTGAGGACAGCGGGCGTAGCAGACAGGCGGTGCCGTGGGTTTCCCCTGATGGTTTGAGGACAGCGGGCGTAGCAGACGGGCGGTGCCGTGGGTTTCCCAGCATCACCACGGGGCTCAGGAATGTTGGCCTAACCTGATGGGAGCTGGGGTGGGGAGGGTTGCATCACCCTGTGTGTCCCTTCTAATTCCCGGGGGATCTGTGTGACAGCGGGTGTTCCGCTGTGTGGACAGACGCTCCCGGCCCCTGTGGGGATCACAGCTGCAGTGTAAGGCTGGGGGGCCGGGCTGATACTTGCTCACCACGTGTGGTCGGGAAGGTGGGTGTCCAGGTGCAGCCCACTAAAGGTGGTGTTGTCATCTCCAGGGGTTTCTCTGCCACACCCCAGAGGGGCCCCACTTTGGTAACTTCGCAGAATCACAGTGGACCTGCAGCTTTGTCTTGCCCACTCGGTGCCGAAACCCTTTTTCAGGGTCCCGTTCTTTTTGACTCTGATTTTATGCCTGTTTCCTCCTGGCGTCTCTCTCTGGCAAGAAGGAATTCTGCGTGAGCAGGTGTGCGTGGCCAAAGCTTTCCTACCTGTTAGCCCAACGAGAGAGAGTTTGTGTCCTTGTCACCTGAAGGAGCCCTTCAGTCCTTAACTTTGTCATTTGAAATAACGGCAGATTTATAGGAAAGTTACAGAACTTCCCAGATCCCCTAAAAGTGAACGTTTTACCACATTTGTTTAAATTTGTTCTTTTCTTGGATGCTTGAGAGGCAGTCGCAGACATGATAGGCCTATACTTGTCAGTCAGTCCCTGGGTGCCACCAACCTATTAGCACTTGGCCACCAACCTACAGAGGCACTCTGGTGGCACAGCGGTTAAAGCATTCAGCTGCTAAGTGAAAAGCTGGGTGTACCGCCCCACCAGCCGCTCCATGGGACAGGGATTTACCGCTTTAGAAACCCTGTGGGGTAGTTCCACTCTGTCCTGTAGGGTTACTGTGAGTTGGAATTGACTCAATGGCAGTGAGTTGGGTTTGGAGTTTGACCAGCCTAAAGGGTGGCAGTTCAGACCCACCCAGGGCAGTGGGGAAGAAAGTCCTGGCATTCTGCTCTTGTGTGACTGCCAGGTACTTTAATCACTGCAGCACTAGAGCGACTTCCTGTGAAGAAGATGGCCAGGAAGACCCCGTGGAGTAGTTCTCTGCAGCACGTGGGGTCTCCATGGGTCAGAATGGGCTCCAAGGCAGTGGGTGCTTCCAGTAGTTACCCTGTGTATTCTTGAACACAGTAGCATTTGTTCACACAACCACAGTTCATGTATCAAAACTCAGGAATTAACGATCCAGTGCTTTCCTGTAGGCTGATCTAGAACCTAATCCACAGGCGTTTACTCACCGTCCCACCAGAGTCAGGTGCTAACCCTGGGCCACATGTTGTATTGGTGTCGAGTCTCCTTGGTCTCCTGTGACCTGAGTCAGCTCCTCAGTCTCAGTCTGTCTGTCTGTCTTTCGTGGCTTCAGTGTTCTAAGAGTACAGGTGAGTTACTGTGTAGACTGTCCTCAGCTTGGCTTGTCCAGTGTTTTCCTCATGGTTAGACTCGGGTATCATGCTTCTGGCAGAAACATCAAGGTGGTGGTGCTGGGTCCTTCTCGGTGCGTCCATCCCATCGGGGGTGAGGTCTGTTTGTCCCGTCCCTGGAGATGTCGCTTTGGTGTCTGGTGTCTGACTTCTCCACTGTCAAGCTAGTCTCCTCCCCTTTGTAAGTAGGAAGCACCTCACAGGGAGACACTGCGGTTGCCTGAGCCTTGGGTTTAGGTTTCTCCTCATGCTCACGCACCTTGGCTGTTGCATCCATGGATGATTCTGGCCTGAGTGAGACCGTGCTGACCATGTTCGCGGCCCCAAATCCCTTCTGCGTGCACTGATGGGTAGTGTCCTTCCCTTTGGCCGGTGGCTTCCTGGCGTGGCTGTCCTGCACGCCATCAGGTGCTTGGATGTTCCCCAGGTGCCCGCCAGCCAAGCCCACCGAGGGCCTTGACCTGCCCTGCTCCCCTGGCTTCGCCTGCTCTGGAACTTTGCAGTCCGTGTGATGAGCTCTGGCCCTGGGCAGAAACACACTCCCTGCTCTTCTCCGCGTGCGCGCTTTCAGGTGCGATGTCCCTCCCACCCCCAGCAGCCACCCACGTGGCCGCTTCTCGGACGTTCTCGAGCGCTGTTAGTGGCACCACTGCCAGAGTGCTGCTGCTGCAGTCGTGTCCGACTCGCCTGGCCAGGGCCCAAGTGTCAGTTTCGTGCCTCGTCACTGGGCTCTGTCCTCGTTTGCTCCATGTCATTGCTACCGCCCCACCCTCCCCTCCTCTCCCTCCCTGCTGCTCATGAGGTCTGTCCCTCTGACAGAGCCCGGGTTACTGCTTCTCCTTGCCTCCCAGGCGCAAGCCACCCTCTGCTCCCACCCTCCATGGCAGCTCCTCTGTTGCCGTGGTTACCGCCTGCCTCCCCCTTTTCCTTCTCCCTCCTCCCTCTCTCTTTTCTTCCTTTCCTTTTCTCTCTGTCCTCTTTAACTCCTTCTTTCTCTCCTTCTTTTTTGCTTCAGGCTACGTTAGGCATTAATTTTAAAATTCTTCCTCGGGCCACGAGCACCGTTTTGGAAGGACGTAGAGCTAGCAGTCTCTGCAGCGCCCTCCTGTACGCTTCCTGTGGCTCGTGTCACACCCCATTCCTCGCTCCCAAAGCTTGTTCTTACTCTTCAAGACCCACCTCACCTTCCCTGTAGCACCTTGAATGTCACCTCTTTGGTAGCCCTGTCAAGCGAATTTCAACTTCCTGAGGAAAGAATAAGGAGCCCTGGTGGCACAGTGGTTAAAGCGTTGGGTTACCAACCTGAAGGTTAGCAGTTCAAGCCCATCAGCTGCTCTGTAGGAGAAAGATGTCGTAACAGCCTCCTTCCATGAAGATGGCGCCTCAGGTCCCTGTGGGGCAGTTCTGCTCTGTCACAGCGGGTCACTCGGGGTTGCAGTCAGCTCGGTGGTGGGTTTTGAGTGGGCTGTACACAGAAATTTTGGAGAACCATCATACAGCATGAGCGGAATTATGTAAAAGTTGAAAAGATAAATGCATGCACAGAGAAACAAGATTATGAGGGAAGTAAACCAGGCACCGTTCAGTCAGTGTGTCCGCCTGCCATTAAATATCTGTGTCAACATGAGCTTCAGTTGCTGCAGAAATTTCCGTTAAGTGGCTGCATCACAGGTGATCCTGCCGTCCCTGCTGTTGGACCCATGTACCGTGTTCTCCTGACGTACCTGAAACACAGAAGCAGGATAGCCCTGTTGGAGCAGCACCTGTCTCCCATATGGGTGCATTCTTGCATCAGGACCCTTCAGTGGTGTTCCTCTTTGCCACTGGGCCCTGGATTGAGCCCCACACCAGCCTTGGGCCTCAGTGCCTGCGCTCGGCAGGCTGGGTGGTCAAGAAGTGCCGTTCGCCATGCGCTCAGGAGCACTGTGCTTGATGGGTGACGTCACCAGGTCCCCCTTGACCTCCCATCCCGGGGGGTGGGGTTAATCACGCGAGGAGGACCGAGCGGTCATAGGCCGATGGACACTCCCTGATCACTCATTTATCAGGCTCCAGATACTCTGCTATCATTCTTCCACACTGTTAACAGAGGTGGCAGATTGCCTTCAGTCGGCAGACAGCGTGTTTCCATTCAGTGCCTATTGGAGGCGGGGCCCTGGGGTGAACTGAAGCTGCCTTCATGACGTCAGGGGGTGGCGGAGAGAGACTGCGTCATGCCCAGGCATAGTTCATTCAGGCACCAAGCAGCCCTGCATTTTAAGTCTCTGGGGAGGAAGAGGGCTTCACCCAGCGTCGGCCAGGATGCGGATGGCCGGAATTCTCCGGTGCTGCTGGTGTGGTGGCGTTGGGATGTGATCTGGCGGTTCATGAGAGTCCCACACACTCACCAGTCCTTCTGTGTGTTGGCCCAGGAGGAGTGAGAGCAGGTACAGCCTCACACAGCACACTCGCCCAGCCAGCCGCTCAGGTGCCCTTGCAGGGTCTGGGAGGCAGGCTGGTGTCCCCACTGGTCATGGAGTGAATTGTGTCCCCAAAATATGTGTTGGCACCCTAACTCCTATGTGCTTGTGAATGTAATCCTGCTTGGTAATAGGGTTTCCTCTGTTCTGTTAATGAGGTCATTGTTGTTGTTGTTGTTTGCCGTCGAGTCGGCCCCGACTCATAGCGAC